GAATCTAGAAAGCATTTAATACTTAATAAATAATACGTATTTTTTCCTAGGGTACAATAATCAATTATTATGAATCATTATTATTTTTTAAATGATTACGAAAAATTCTTAACACACATTAATAGGAAATTTCCCTATTAAAATGCATGAATTTTATCTTACAAGTATTATTATAAGTTGTTTCAAAATCCTTATTTTTTTCCGAACATTTCTATAAAATCAATAAACGACATATATAATCATAATTTCTCTTTGTGTTCATGTTATTAAGAATAATATTTTTTTTAAAAAATGTTACTTATTTGAGATTGAGTTGCTTCCTAAAATTTACTATATTCTTGAAATTCCTAAAATTTAAATCAACTTTTGCTTTTCTAGACTTTTTTTTGTTCTACCAGCACAGTGCAAAAACTCTCGTTTATGTTTTTAAAAAATATTTGTTATGCGCCAAAAATGCGAAAAATAAATAACTGTGTTTTAATGTCTCTTAAAAATATTTTCATTAAATTTCCATCTATGAAGATTTCAATGTATCTATAAAATATGCACACGATGTTAAAATTATGTTTTATTTCCAAAATTTTCAGTTTGGTTACAAATGAGGCTGCAAAAATATTTCTAAAATGTGTGGAAACTTTCATGTCTTACACAGAACACTCTGAAAAAGCGTAGAAATTTAATATCGAAACCTTAAACCGTAAAATTGGTACCCCAAACCATAAAATAAAATAAAAATTGCTGCATCCTTAATACGGGGTTAATTTGAACCATGATTCCGCTTAAGTTGAGCCATAGGTGGCGTAAGCAATTCTTGACGTACAATACGGTTCAATACGTGACAATACGGTTCAGCTTATTAAATCAGCATATTAAATTTTCGTCAAGTTTGGACAATATTGTAGACCAATACGTTCAAATGTTTCTAAATAAATATGCTAATAGATAAACGTCGTCAATAAGCTTAATAGTGAAGAAATAAAAGAAATACGTTACTATATATCGATAACTACTTCTTGGCTTATATAATTTACTATTTGATCGATATTTTATGACATCTATCTGATTATCAGTTGGAAAATAATGAACTTTAGTTTTTTTTAAAGGGAACAAAACTTTGTAATTTTTTATACATGCACCGAAGAGCCATTACATTGTGACCACCCTGCTAATAACATGTAGGACCACCTTTAGCCCTCAAAACTGCTAGCACCCGCCGTGGCATTGATTCTACAAGGTGCTGATAGGTAATCTGAGGTATCTGGTACCAAGCGCTCACCAACTGGTCCTGCAATTCCCTCACATTGCGAGGGGGTAGCGTGGTAGCATGAATTTGGCTTTCCAAGTAGGACCACAAATGCTCTATTGGATTAAAGTCAGGTGAATTTAGGGTCCAAGACATGACTTGAAAGTCACTGGAATGTTCCTCGACGATTCGACCCTAATCACATGGTGTATTATCCTGGTGGTAAACACCATCCACAGGAGAAACTGTTGCCATGAATGGGTGAACCTGGTCTGCAACTATGTTCAAGTTCTATGAGGATTATGGATCCTAATGTGCCCCATAAAAACATTGTTCCTGGGCGAGCCCATTGTTATTGATGGAGGGTAGTCATAATGTAATGGCTCTTCGGTGTATTTTTACTTATAAATTACGATTAGTAATTATGTATATAGCCATGCTAATTAAAATTGTGGTGTAATATCTCTCCGAATGTATTAGATCTGTTGAACAACCCTAAAAATTGTGAGAAGAAACGCTTTATTCCGAGTTAGCACCCAAATCGAACTTTCATATTCGATTTAAATGGTGTAGTTTAAATCTAAGCACTTAAAACTTTATAATATCGCCCTTTCACACCATATGAGAATTATTTTCACAGCCGAAAACACTAATGTTAGCACGCTGTAAATATCAAAAATTTAAGAAACGACAAGTAAAATATCGCGAGTTGTTAGTCTGAGATGAGCTTGCGAGAGTTTGTTGTCAACAGAAACAAAAATTTCACATTAAATATATATGCATGTTTTTATTTGTATAATATTTTAATTTTTATGTCTCTCAGAACAGTATTAACTGATTTTTTATTGTATAATTTTTATCCATCTCCGTTCCGTTCGAATTTGTCTTAAGATTCTCTCTGTGCTATGCGTATTGATTTGCAAACTAATTTTATTTTAGAGTAATCTTATGTATACATTTTAAATTAGCAATTCTTACTAAAATTATTAATTTAAGTGTTACTGATTAACACAAATGGTGGCACCTACTTTACGCCAAGTATAGTAAAAGAGGATCTATGTATGGTGTTTCCCTGCACCACATTGATGAAAAGTAGTTGCCAACAGTTTTGGTGTTGAGTTACAGTTTTGATGAAATTTTTTGCAGTGCAGAAATTTGCTTCTGTACTTTACTGTATTAGTTTGCTTTCTGATATAAATATGACAAAATAATATTTACTACGACTTCATTTGCTAAAGCATTAAATATATTTATAAGAAACTAAGTGCAATAAACTAAAGTGCCATTAATTGGGAATCAGAAAAATTTACATTTTCTCATTACAGTGCAAAATATTTTGGTGAATGGCTTCCACCCATTTTGTTGTAAGGCTAACTAAATGCACTTTTACTGTAATGCTCTTTAAAAACCTGTAATTATCCTGCAAAAATTTTATAAAATGGAGAAAATAACAATTGTTCAGAAAAATATCTGTGAATATATTAATAAAAATGCACTTGTATTCTAAACGAACTATTTCTTAATGAAGCCATTAAATTGGCTCTAACGCTCATGGAAATATGTGTTGTCAGTAACAAAAATGAATAAATAAATAAACTATAAAAGTGAAAAATAAATTTAAAAAATCTGACTACATGTTCTGTGAAAAAATTTAGTTTATCTCAACACCAAAAGTTGTTGCAAAAATTTTTACACTGTATGTACCTATGATATAAATCGTTAACATTACAGTTTGTATTATGTCCTCTTCTATTAATGCTCGATAAGCTTTTGCTTTTATTGATGAATGTTTTAAATAGTAAAAATACAAATAAACTGCAAAAGCATTTATTAATCTTTAAAGCTGATTCTTATACAGATCTTTTTCTCGGTATTGTTTATTTTTTAAGAAAGAAAACACAACACAAGAATGTCATTTTTTAAAGTTTGTTTCTCAACGGATGTTTTTTTTTTCATTTCATCAACAAAAAAAAACTAATCAAATAGAATTTAGAATTCAGAAAATTAAATAAATCGAGAAAAATAGATTTAAGTAGGAATAAGTAGTAGTACCTTTAATTTAAAAATTGGTTTACTGAACATTTAATTACCCGCAATAACTACTAAGCAAAAGCCTATAGAAAACATAACACTATTTATACTGTGACGTGAAGTCTAATTTGACAATTGTTTTTTTTTATTAAAGAATATTTTATCCTATACAAAACATACAAGTTTTTTTTTTCTTTCACTACGAAAACAAAATAAATTTTCGCATCAAAACTATTCTGTTTATTAAGCTGTCAAATTTGGAGCAGTTTTACTCCCTTTGAATGAAAATGCGTGGAAACCTTCGATTTTTCGATCAAAATTATAGCGTTGTAAACTGCTTAGTTTATTTTCTCCGATAAAAAGGCTTGCTCGTATCAATAAAATGCCTTCAAGAAATTTCGATCTTGTATAAAATAAAATAAAAATACAATACTGAAAATTCTTGAATTTATAGGTTAGCAAAATGGTGATCGCTCTCCAAGCATAAAGTTCGTAATTCTAGTAAAAGTGCAGACGAAGGTTTTGAAAAGATAAAATTTCTCGTGCGTTAGATAAAAATTCTCAAACCGTTTTGTCCAAAACAGTGTAAAATGCAATTTTTATTCTTAAATTTTCCAACTATCTTAAACTTTAATTCATTTTATATGTTAGGTGTTAACCCATATTTCTTAAAATGAAATGTATAACTACAATACAGACTAATATTTCCTTAAAAGGATGTAAGGTTAGTAAATTTTTATACAGGGTGGTTCAAAAATATGTACATCAAAGATGCCTAAATAAGCATATTTCATGTAGGAATGTGTGAAGCCAAGAAGAGCCAATACAGAAACGCTGTTGCTTACTAATGTACAGTGCGTAAAAAAAAATAAACGGACCTCCCTAAATAAATTTGATCTGATGATCGGATCTTCACGTTTTAGGCCTAGTTAGAGGAGGTGACGTCAAATATGCTTTTTAATTAGTGCAGATGATTTTAAGTTACAAAATCAGACACAAAAACGTACTTACATACCTTTTTCGAAAGATTCCGATTTCTGACCCCTTAAATATGGGAGATTAGCTGCAATCTGGGAAATATGGGACCAATAGTTTGGTCAGGAAAGCTTTCCAAGGTTTGGTCCCCTTTATGTTAATTTTACTCTTATCACATTTCGCTATATCTCGAGAACTTCTTAAGCAAATTGAAAAATGTTTGCACATAATTATAAAATTCGTTTATTCAAAGAAAATGCTATGTACAAAATAATTTTTAGTAAATATTTATTTTTTATGAATTTATTTAATATTAGTCAAAAAATTTAATTCCTAGGTATTCAAATTTTTATATTAATTTGAAGAATGTAATTTTATTTGGCATAATACAACAATTGAACGAAATCTGTCAAATAGTTCCCGAGAAGTCAAATTTTAAGGAAATTTTATATTTAAAATTCAATTTCTCAGGAGCTATTCGATCGATTATTAAAAATACATTCTTCAAATCATATTTCCCGGATTGCGACTTTCCTTTATATTTTGAGGGTCAGAAATCCAAAATCGTCGAAGTATGTTTCTGTGTGGAAGCATGTCTTATTTCGCAACTTAAATTACTGTTTGGGCTAATTACTTAGCATATTTGAGATCACCTCCTCAAGCCATTGAGATTGAGTCCTAAAACGTGAAAATCGAAACATTAAATCAAAAGTTATTCAGCTTGTTTCATTCATTTTTTTTCTTCTCTAAGGCACTGTACAACAACCAAAGCCCCACTGAGAATCTTGTATCCCTGTTGGTCATCGCACTTTGGAGCAGCTGTTGTAAACAGTATTTGATTGTAATTTGATTTAAAACTGTTTGATTTTGTATAAGAATGCAGATGTGAAAATGCAGTATAAGAACGCTAGCAAATAAAGCAGAAGTTATTATAAGTAAGTAAAAAATTCAATTTAGACAAATGAAAACAATGATTTACAACAATTCTTACAATTAAATAGTTTACATTCAAATTACAATCCATTATAATAGCTACTACATTATAATATTAAATGTGATGCCACAATTGGCATACACATATTTATTTTCTATCTTTTAAAATATCTTTTATTACTTAAGCTGATTTTTTATTAATAGAATTATATTTAAAATAAATCACAAATTTAATCTTTTTGAGACGAACATAAAATATTTATTTCTTCTCTTCTAGATTAATGTAACGGATACTTTTTTATTTCATTACTAATGCAGACTTATATATTCACTGTCGCCTTTAATCAAAAACAAAAATCTATTTATAACTTTTTATTCTAATTTTCCAACGGCTAAATGTTTCAGTTGCATGGTTGTAATAATTCACATAAATTTGTTGGCGACTCGTGATCGCCAAGGTATTCTCTTAAACCCATATTGTTATGCTGGTTGGCTTTGTTTTGGCTATGCTATATTTTAATAAATCGCCAATTTTGGATCTCCTACCAATGCTTCTGTGTCTGTTGGGAACAATTTACACGTACTTTTTAATTTGGCTTTTGACTAGGCAGGTTGTGGGGGATTTGTCTCCCATGGCCTGTCCTTATTAATATTATTATACAAAATTGATTCAACTGAAATTCTTATGGATAATATATTTTTATATTTTGTAACTCGAGCTCTGCAAATATACTACTAAATAAAAGCTTTTTTATTAATTCTAATCCGGCTCAACTATTATTTTCATCATCTCCTGATTTCAGCATCAATCTTCAACTTGGCCCACTATACCAATACAAACCTCCAACCTCACCTGATATATCCATCATCACTGAAAATACACCATAATCATCAACATAAAATGGCACCCAGAATCCTTCTTCTCCATATTAATATTGCAAGGAAGCAACAGTGCTCTCGATCGGCTTAACCATAACCATCTAGAAGGAAGGAGGCCGTGACACTTCACGCAGTTGTATTCGATGAGTCATCCATTCCGTCGAACGCCAAGTGGCCAAGCTGCGTGGTTAAATTCTTACACGTTCGATCTGTATACTGAGTGTAAACAAACGATTTACAACGTGCGCTCTTATTGAATATTTTATGCTGCTCTATTTGTTTTTCAATCGTTACGTTTTATTATTCCATTATTACGTTTTTTTATTCGTTACAAAGTTTTGTTATTTGTTAATATTTTCGTTGTTCATCGTTAAATTTGTTAACTCTGAAATGCCAGATCATTGCTGCGTACCAGATCGGCATTTCCGCACATGCATTCCTTTAAGAAATATGCTTATTTAGGTCCCGCCATCATGCTTTTACATGTTTGAAATATTTTTAAATCACTGTGTATGAAGTAAGCGAATAGGAAAACAAAATTAAACAAATAATTAAATAACTGATTTTTATACTATTTTGTGAACTTTGAGTGACAAAGTAAAAAAGAAATTATTTAGCTGAGAAAATATTTTTATTGTTCTCCTATAACTCATAAATAGATAGTTGTCGTTTTGTACATTTTAACTGGACGAAGAAAAATCACATGATATAATCATTAATATACAAACAGGTGGCTGGGTGGCGCAGTTGGTTTGTCGTCGGCCTTCTGAGCTCAAGTCTGCGAGTTCGATCCCCGGCCCAGCCACCGGATTTTCGGGATGCAAAAACTCCTCAGCGGCCATGTCGTATGATTATGCGGCATGTAAAAGATCCCTGGAGTGCCTTATTGGTTCTTAGCATTTCCGGGAAAATTAAATTTCTAGTGCACTTTAGCATCCAAATAGAGTCTCGGTGCTGCCATCTAGTGTGGCCGAAACTAGACGTCCAAATTAACCTGGCCAACGGTATCTCAGCCATTGTGGTGGTCCTGAAAGAGTGGATACCACTTCTGGAGAACGCACTAGGAAAGACTGATTGTGCAGTTCATAGGAAATAAAAAATATACAAACAATGTCCAGATATCTTTGGCTGTTATCAGAATAAAATTATTAATTTATAACGGTATTTTGGTATTTACTAGGAAAATTTTTTCTATACCTTACCTACGGTATCCCTCTGGGCAAAAAAATCGGTAATTTCGAGAAAAAAAATTCGATTTTTAATTATTATTTTCATCTATATTTAAACTTTAGCTCATTAGCTTTCCGAAATACTTTAAAATTTTGATCTCCGATGTTTAGAAATGAAGTTACAGTTGTTTATTCGTATGTTGGCAGACGAAACCGAAACAGGAAGTATACTTCAGAAAACGTAATAACGATGTATTTTATTCTAAGTATTTTAACCTTTATTTATTGAATGAATTATATTTTTAAGACAAAAAAAATTTCATTTTCAGATATCAGTTTTCGAATCATTAAATTTTTTGTTATCAGAATTTTCTTACTTGCTTTCTGTCTTACAGAATTTTCTTTCATTTTAAATGCATATTCTAAAAAACGTAGATTTTGAGCAAATTTCTTTTTGCTAACACACAATAAAAACAAATAAATACAATTCTTTGAAATTTAGTAAGTGGATTTTATATAATATTAGCGATATTTTAAACTAAAACTTAAGGTCTAATTATGATTTTTTTATCAAGCTTTACTATTTAGAATTTTTTTTAAAAAAACTCAATATTAAACAAAGTATTTAGTTCTATTTCATTGCTTTTTTTCAAATTTTTAAGATTTTAGTGCATAGATGATTACATTATTTATCTAGAAGAGCAATTATTTTTAAATTTATGCACTGAAATTTTGATGTAGAGCTGTTATCGTCACATGAAAATTTTGTAGTTTTTGTAGTTTTAGTTTAAAATTGCCCTTATTTTGAAAAATATTTTTTAAATTTTGCTTTAAATATTTAAGTTTTATTTTAAATATATGATTTTTATACCCCTACATAGAATTAAAATTTCAAATGAACATTTTTTTAAAAATAAATTGTGTCGAAACTAGTTGGATACATTAACAATATTAACGAACAATATTATTATTAACAATATTAACAATAGTATTATTTTTTCTTCAGGGTCATTGATTTTTTTTCTTCTAAGAATCACGATGAATAAAATTGCTTACGTTTTTATTTGAATAATAAAATAGCCTTTTGCTCCGCAAATGAATATTATTTAATGCAAAATAAGTATATATTTGAGGGTGAATTAATTATTTTCTTAAAGTATGCTGAAAACCCTATAAAAATAATGGGAAAAAATATTTTTTACCTTACAGAAATATTCTTTTACAAAAACAAATTAATGTAATGACTCTCCTACACTGAGAAAGATACAGAGTTTAAAAAATAATGGGCTATTAGGATTGTGTTTGGAATTTATTGTAAATTAAGTTAATTGATGAGATCTATGAAAAAATCTCAAAACTTCGATCATGTTTCTCTGAAATGATACAGGCTTTATTTGTCCATACGGTTGAGACAATTAATCCAATTTTCCAGTAATTTCGACATGGAGTATTGTAGAATATAGCTGCATCGTCATAAGGATGGTAAACGTCCTCATTTCATCTGACAGTGCCATTTAACAATAAAATAAGTATATATGTAACATTGTGTAAAACCTATTTTACATAATGTAAGAATTCAGTTTCAAAAATAATTTTAAATTCCTTCGTAAAACCGCTGAATCTATAAACAGATAATAGGTGGTATACATCAACTCATCTTGATACCCAGGAATCTTGTTTTCGTTATAAAAATGCTAATTCTCTTATCAATGATATTAGTTTCTCACCACCTCTTCATAGAGCGTGGAAACACATTTTATTCTGATTTGTCTCTCTTTGTCACTCTGTTTTGTCATTGTTCCTTTTTCATGTTTTTTATCTCTCGGCTACTATGGTTTTTCTAATTTTGTTTCTCATTTTTATTTTCGTTGGCAACCTTGCTTTTTATTTTTCAAATAACTTTTGTTTCTTCTCATTCACATCCGGCAAGTTTTGAAAATTTGGCACGTGTTTTAGAGCCCTTAAGACATGTTGACTATTATTTCAAAAGTTTCAACAGGTAATATCTTACCACTTCAGTTTCTTGGGATTATTTATTTAATAGGTGGTATTATAGTTATATGGATGGTGACATTAACAGATGCTACCCATGAGGATTCGTAAGATGGAATTTCGCTTACGAATTATTGTCTCTGTTGGAATGTACCTAGAAATGTGTACTTAAATCTCCAAAATGAAATAAAAAAAATATTCGGGAGTTTTTTATTTTAAGCCTAAGCTTCCATAAAATGCGTTCCACTAAAGCTCTTCCTTTTATCCTGAACATTTACTTTTCGAACATTTGGGCGATACACGAAAGTTCTCTTAAGATCTGTGGAGATTGGTAACTTTAGTTTTTAAAAAAATTATACTTTAATTGCTTACTTCTGATTTTATTAAGTATATTATTTCTTAGAAATGTATTTTTGAAAAAAAAAGGAACGAAATTATTCCTTACTCGTTTTTTACTTTCCTTAAACAAAAAATTATTTTTTCTCCATTAATTTTACTTGATAACGCACAACTTATTTACTTCAATTATCGTTAATTTTAAATTATTTAGTTTTACTGAAACCGACTGGCAATAGTGTCAGGGAACTGGCCTTACATCAGAAAGGTTCTGGGTTCTAATCCCGAACAAGGCATGCGTGTTCCTTCATTCTTTGTACCATCTGTCCCTACTGTGGGGACAACGTTGGCCCACCTATTATGGTGCCCCTAAGAGAGTGGCCAACAAATCTGCCCTTCAGATGCCTGTAGGGCTTAGGTCATTCTCCTGGTGGGCATTGAAATAAAAAGTTTCATAGAAACACTTTTCTAAAGCTTAACTGTAAGTGAAATAAGCACGTAGTTTCAGATAACTTTAAAAACACTAATTCGGGGACATAGCCGTCACATGCTACTAATGAACTTAGCTGACGTATCAAATCAACAAAGAATTAAGAAATTTTCAGTAAA